GTATTCAGAACATTTTTAGAAAAGCTGACCGCGTATGGGCTACGATCAGGAAATCTTGTGATTGCCAAGCAAGTATCCTTGCGTTTGCGTTAATGGCGGTTTTGCTGCCGGAATAATGATTTGTTAGTTTGTTTCAACGCGCAAATTATTTATGCGAGGGAAAAAATCCGCACACATAATCGCTTCAAATTGAAATGAGGCAAGCTAATTGGTCTTTTTGTTCTAACTTTTGTAACGAAAGTAACGGAGTTTTTGCGCTCGGGTGGTTTTTCTTCAGACAAATTTCGATCTCTTAACTAAGAACTTTTGAGGGAAATTTTTTTATCAGCCGGAAGGTATTGTTGCCTTGAGCGAATATTTGAAAATAAAATTCACCCGTGGTCATTTTTCTTAAAATTGTGAGTGTTTAAAGATTGCCAGTTTGGCGCATTTGGGACAATTAACGCGCGGTATAATTCGCGCTATTAACGCGTAAACGGAGATCTATTATTTAATCCGTCTTAGAAATCAATCTAAATTGGTTGAAGGAAGCCTATTTGCATAATTGTTTTGTTACTAGGAGCGAAAATTATCACTTCGTATTTCATATGGCGTGTGTGGGGACGGTTTAAAAAAACTCTTTTTGTTTCAATTTTTTTTTTCAAAACGAACACTGCTTCATAGAATCCAAAGAAATTAAGGGCTTTGCCCTGATACGAGCAGTCTTGTTAACTTATATAAACGACTCAAGTTTTAACACTTTGATATTTAACACGAGCGATACGAGACCAATTGATAGGCAGCCGGAACTTACAATGAATTGTCCTGATACGAGCAGTTTTGTTTTCTTATGGAAAAGAAAGAAGCCCCTTGCTTTGATAATTTCGAATCACGCAGTATCAAAAAATTACTGATTCGGCTGTTAGTCACATAATTTATATTTTTATCAAAAAATATGCAATCCAATATTTGATATTTATAAGACTTATGCCAATTGTGTTTTCAGGTTGCGAGCAGTATCAAAAAATAAAAAAAAACAGTGAGGCTCCCTGTTTTGATAATTTCGAATCATCCAATATTGAAATTAACCTCCACCCAATTCTTGTATATTTCGTTAGAAAAAGTAATGCAGCAGGCTTCATTCTGTCATTTTTCAAAACTAGACTGCTTGATGACAGCCGAAAAAACCAATAGGTCCAACTGGCATAAAACGGATCAGAAAAATTTTTCTTGGAGAAATCGACTTTCATTTCAACAAAAATATCTTGCAAATTTTATTTAAAATCATCTTTCTTGTTTCCCCCACTCCACGCAGAAGATTAATAATAATTAAAGGATTAATTCAAATCAAAGTAATTTGATATAATTAAATAAACAAATTACAGCAATATCAAGCGACTTGAAAAAAGTAAATTACAAGATAGGCTGATCTGCTCTAAGTCTACTTTGAGCAACATAAGTTTCAAATAATATTTATTTTGAGAGTAGATAGTAATCATAATAACATTTATTTAAATAAAAATATTTAAATAAACATTTTTAAAAAGTCATGTGTTTTTTCCGCATTTATTTTTTCCGCATTTATGTTTTTTCCTCATTTATTCCGCGTTTAAAAACTGAACTATAGTTAGCGAGGCATATTAGTCAAGCAATTGACAATTTGTTAAACTAAGCGAACTCTGTCAACATATTGATGAACATATTTCATAACATTTATTTTAAAAAATTAAAAGCCTTGCGAACTTATCAAAAGATAAAACCCAAAACAAAAGGGTTTAAGAAAAAATTTCAGTTCTTAAAATAATCACATCGCTCTGACTTATAGTGAAAGTATATCACTCATAGAGCTCCTAGGAGTTAAGTTCAAAGTCGTTCTTATAGAATAGGAAGAAATGTTAATATTTAATTCAGCAGATTAAAGCAGTCGGACTGATGTTTAAATCATATTGACTTTCTGACCTCGGACAATAGAATGAGTTTGTCTCTGTCTTGCTGTCCTATGTCAGCGTATAGCCTTAGTCGCTTTCCTCCGGTCTCCCCTCCTCGTCTAAGAGTTAGGGGGGCAAGTTGTTGGAGGCTTCTTGGTACCAAGTCATCAACTACTTCGCCAGGAACAAACATTTACTGACGTACAATGATTTATTTTTTTTCGATTCCAAAAGTGTTGAAGAAAATACTAGAAACTAGATGTGATACTAATTAACAAGACATTTATTTATTCTGTTAACAAGACATTTAAATTTGGTTTCAATTTTTTTTTCAAAACGAACACTGCTTCATAGAATCCAAAGAAATTAAGGGCTTTGCCCTGATACGAGCAGTCTTGTTAACTTATATAAACGACTCAATGTTTAACACTTTGATATTTAACACGAGCGATACGAGACCAATTGATAGGCAGCCGGAACTTACAATGAATTGTCCTGGTACGAGCAGTTTTGTTTTCTTATGGAAAAGAAAGAAGCCCCTTGCTTTGATAATTTCGAATCACGCAGTATCAAAAAATTACTGATTCGGCTGTTAGTCACATAATTTATATTCTTATCAAAAAATGTGCAATCCAATATTTGATATTTATAAGACCTATGCCAATTGTGTTTTCAGGTTGCGAGCAGTATCAAAAAATAAAAAAAAAACAGTGAGGCTCCCTGTTTTGATAATTTCGAATCATCCAATATTGAAATTACCCTCCACCCAATTCTTGTATATTCCGTTAGAAAAAGTAATGCAGCAGGCTTCATTCTGTCTTTTTTCAAAACTAGACTGCTTGATGACAGCCGAAAAATTCAATAGGTCCAACTGGCATAAAACGGATCAGAAAAAAATTTCGTGGAGAAATCGACTTTCATTTCAACAAAAATATCTTGCAAATTTTATTTAAAATCATCTTTCTTGTTTCCCCCACTCCACGCAGAAGATTAATAATAATTAAAGGATTAATTCATATCAAAGTATTTTGATATAATTAAATAAACAAATTACAGCAATATCAAGCGACTTGAAAAAGGTAAATAACAAGATAGGCTGATCTGCTCTAAGTCTACTTTGAGCAACATAAGTTTCAAATAATATTTATTTTGAGAGTAGATAGTAATCATAATAACATTTATTTAAATAAAAATATATAAATAAACAATTTTAAAAAGTCATGTGGTTTTTCCGCATTTATTTTTTCCGCATTTATGTTTTTTCCTCATTTCTTCCGCGCTTATAAATTTCTGCAAAAAAGAAATTTTCGTTGCAACAAGCCTGTTGAAAATGCCATTCTATCCCTCCAAAGCATTGTTAATCTGAAGCAACTTCTTTTCGCTGCTCTCCCTATTAAAGTACAATCTCTTCAACTGGCTCCATCACAAAGCTCCATCACAATGCCATTCATCAAACTAATTTAGAAAATCAAGAGCAGGCAAAGCTGCTAACACAAAAATTCTCTCTGATAATAAACCGGAAAGGTTGAATTAGAATTTATCACAACTGTGCGTAAATCTTTTTAGGGGTGGTCTTCATTACTTTCTAATGTTTCCGCTTGGGCTTTGATACCAAAGCTTGCTGTTAATTCTGTTGTTATGGCAAACAGATCTAGAAAAATAATGCGTTTGCAGCGTAAAAGAAGCTCAACTTGAGCACTGAATACAAACGTACATGGCCATCTTTTCAAAACTGTTTTTTTTTTCAGCATATCTATAGTCATCTCTGCAGAGATATTATTTCCCACGTGTAGAAGTGACAAAATCCATAATAGGTCAACATAATTCTTGATTTGTGAATGGATTTAAAATTGACCCTTTTTGTGTTTTAAGGGTCAGTATAAATGTTTGTTAATAGAGATTAATCAAAGATGATTAAGCCTTTAAGACACAAAATTTAGCTGTTAAAACGAATTTTTCCTCTCATTGGTTAAAAAATTCCCATCACTTAGTTTATCACTGTATAAAAAGCTTAAAGTTCCAAAGTTCTAAACTTAACTGCCCAATTATTTGCTAAGCGGTGTTCTAATGTGTTTGACTCAAAAACATGTTGTTTCGACTGACCCTACCCAATTTGGCTGTTTCGAGTTTTTAAGAGTTTTTAAGATCATTTATCCACGGGGGAAAGGACCAACACAAGAGCTGTACAGCTCATCACGGCGAACCGCTGTTGTGCCCCTGTTTTAACCGCTGCGAACCGCTGTTGTGCCCCTCGAGCCACTCGAACAAAGAAAAACGCGCGGGTTCTTTGCCAAAACTAAAGTGTGTGTAAATTTTTTGCGAGGGAAAATACTTTGAGCCGAGGCGCGTCTAAGAAAAGACTGTACGACACAGCTTTGACCCGCGATGCGATACGAAACCTTACGCGGCAGGATTTTCAAAGCCTCGTCTAAAGTCGCGGACCTGTAGCTATAAAAGGTATTGGATAAAAGATCTAGCCAGAAGCAGCAATAATGGCGACAAACACACTACACGCACGCACTGAAATCCTAGCTCTAATTCTCGTGATGCTCGGTTTATCAGCCTGAACTACCAAAATAAACTTTCTATGATATTTAGTCCATAAACCTCTAATGATACGTTATGGACGCATTTTTTCATGGCTATTTTTAGCATAATGACTTCATTAATAGTGTATCACTGTTTCAGTAGGTTTGAACTCCATTTTTTGCGTTTTCAGTTTCCCATCGAAGTTTTGAAAGTCATGTATTTAGTGATTGGAGAAAATGTCATAAAACTCACCATGGTATGGAATTTAAGTCTGTTAAAATCTATTATGAACAAAGGATCCTTAAAAAACAGCTAAAATTGACCAACTGTTCCCCACATTTTTCCTTTACTAACATTAATGTTTGCAATAAATCTGAAGCAATGATCGTTAAAGCTCCGCTCCACGTGATACTTATAGAACCTCAATTTGGAACTCAATTTGGTGGTTCAAAATTTGATTCAACTTTGCAAAATATGGCTGCTATGCCTACACTTCTTTTTCCTTAAATTGATCCATTTTGGCGTTTCAAGAGAGCTCAAAAACTTTATTTGGTCAACCTATAAAGAAAATTTAATAAAACTCTCAATTTATTTTCGCTTCATCTTCAATAAAATCCTCAATTTTCTGATTTGATCAACTGATGATGATATACACATGATCATCTCTTTCCATTTTGCGACTCATATTTCATTTTTGTGACCGATAATCGACTTCAAGTTAAAACTGTTGATATTGCAGCACAACAGTAATTTACGATCGAAGAAGATCTATGATGTCCTTTTTGTCGATGTTATAGGAATCAACTTTGATTGTCTTGACTGCTTTTTTCCATCTGTTCTTCCCGCCGCGTTGCTGGGAGGCCCCGCCCATGGCCCCCAGGAAGCCTCTACCTCCGCCGAAACTCCCTAGTTCCCCGGTCATATTATGTTCTAAAGAAAGATAAAACAGATTTGATTCAAATACGGCATCAGGGGATATTTAAAAATCCCTTCCCGCAAAAATGTAACAAGACTGCTCGTATCAGGGCGAAGCCCTGAATGTTCCGACTGCCTTTTAAGGTCTATGGAGCAGTAATAAAGTGGAAAATTTAAATGTAATAAAGTAAAACTAAAATTTTTTTTCTGAAAAGTTTGAGATTTTTTGTGAAAACATCCCCCCACATGCCATATATTAAGTATAAAGTGATAGACTTTGCTCATATTAACAAATCAATTATGGCATATAAGCTTCCTTGAACCAATTTGGAACAATTTCTAAGACGGATTAAATCTCGCTTACGCGTTAATAGCGTGAAATATGTCGCGCGTTAATTGTCCCAAATTGGCCAAAATGGCCAAAATTGCAATCTTTAAACCCTCATAACTTTTTGAAAAATGATCACAGGTGAAATATCTTTTGAAATTTAAGCTCAGGACAACAATAGCTTTCGAATGATGAAAAAAACTCCGTCAAAAATGGCTAGTTAGAAAGTCGAAATTTGTCTGAAGAAAAAAAAACCCACCCCGAGCACAAATATTCCGTTACTTTTGTATCGAAAGTCGGAACAAAACGCATCACATAAATTATACGCAGCTCTAATCAAAGTATTCTAAAAAAATCAAAAGTTTTGAAAATTAAGTATGTTTGCTTCACTTGAATTGCTAGCGATTCATTTTTCTTTCAATCAAGTTTTCTAATTTAAAAAAAATTCAAGGAAAAAAAAATGAAAATTGAAACTAATTAAAAAATTCAGAGGCAGTAGAAAGAAGTGTTGGTACAGAAAACAATCATTGATGAGCAACAAAAACAATAGAATCAAACAAAAAACTATCTAAAGATATTTTTAGCATAAATTAAAGAGAGAAAAGGGCCACCTACGGAAATAAAATAAAAAAAAATCTAACAATTTTGTGAAACATTTTGCAGTCAGCTCGATAGTAACGCATAGTCAGGAAAACATATTATCCAAAGGTAATTCCCAAATTCACGGATACACTTGCAATATCAGATAGCAAGTTCAAACCAGAGGAATATGTCGAACAAAACAGCTATGCATAGTTATCCATCTGCAACAGTTAAAGATGTTCAAGGTGTTATTCTTCAATATGGCGCCGGGGCTAAAATTGTTATATAATGCAGGTCACAACACGAAAGATAAAAGCTTATCAGCGAATCAAGCGGTACAACAAATGCGTGACACAATCTCGAAATATATCGAAAAAATAAAGCCTAACAAAATTTTTTTTTTGGGAGGGGCGAATCCAACAATTCTACATTTGAATCTTTTCTTGAACAATTACCAAATATCGGTACTAAGTTACATGGCATCTATATTTTGATAGTGGTGAAAAGGATTTTCCAAAACCTTGAAGAGCGTGATATATCGAATGATGGTGGTCATTCAAAACATAGCGGCATTCAGAAAATGATTCAAGTTATAGGTGATTCTTGACTGCTAAACACATGGAAAACTTTACGGGGGGCATAAAAAAAACTAGTTCAGAATTATACCAAAACCGAATGTGGTTATTGTTCTTTAGATTTTGGGCAAATGCCTTTGCATAACACTTAACATCCAATTTCGTATGATTTCGCTTGATGCTTTTTTTTGATTTTTTAAAATTTGTCGGGTTCATAGAATTTATTGGAAAAAAATGAACCTCTCAACTCAAGAAACATTTTTTTATTTCTCTAAAAACTGTCACGTGTTAAAGTTATTTTTTTTCAGTAAAATTTTTAATGACTGTCACGTGTTTTAAAAACTGTCACGTGTTAAAGTTATTTTTTTTTTCAGTAAAACTTATAAATGCCGTATGTTATCAGGAGATTTTGAAGAACAACCAGATCCTCCAAAATTTAGAGTCAATGACACTTTTGAAGGATTGATAATTCAGTTGAAAAAGAACAAACAAACTGTAAGTTTTTCCTACGAAAAGTCACTAGTAACAAAACAATTTTTGATGTATTGCAAACTTTTTGAAAAATTTACCAGAAAAAAATGTTTCTGTAGTCAGCACAACGGGGCTTAAGGTTTCATTTTTGATGAAAAAAAGCAAGTAGTTTTCAAAATCAAGACCTGAACACGTTGAACACTTTTTGAGCAAATTAGAAATAAGATTATCAATTGTGATTTTACCAGCAGATTGGATACATCAAACTCATGAACTGGTCATTGCGTCATTGCTTTATGTCAAAAAAACGAAAAAGTAATTTCAATTGTTTTGAGTCTACACTTATTATCGAACACGTTTTGCTCAGTTACGAACCTAACCTAACCATCAATTGCATCAATAAGCAAAGTTTTCACTTCTCAGAAATTGTAATTTTTTGAGCTTAAACTTCAGCAAAGATTTTGCATTTAGAAACTCAATTATTATGTACAGATCAACGGATGCAAAAAACATATTTTTCGTTTTGATTCATGTATTCAAAGATAGTTTGGACAAACATTTATCTCTAATAAGCAAAACTTTCATGTTGAAAAACCTTGTAACAAAAAGAAACATAGCGTTAATTTTATGCTAAATAATTTGAATAAACAAAATTTGTAAAGCAGATTTTTATCGAAAAAAATTGATTTTTTAGCAATTGGATACTTGCTCGGAAATTTGTATGTAAATTGATTTTTACAATATCACCCAACTACCAAAAAAAAACGTTTCATATAAATTTTTGGAAAACGTTGAGAAGGAATATTATAGCATAGTTTTTCATAAAATGATAAACAAGCAAGAACAAGGGAGCTCCAAAGTCTTAAAACTTGGAAAAAACACCCACAACAACAGTTGAAAATTTTTTACAGGCGAAAAAATTCCTAATTATTTTGATATAGCGAACATTTAACTCGAGCGTTCGCAGAACCAGGAAAATTTAGTAAGAACTTGTTCAGTGTTTAGTGAAAGACATAATCCCTGTCAAGAAAACACTCTAATTTAGGCCAACTACAGACACAGAAATGTTTCAATAAATTGATTTTTCACAAAATATGAGGCTTTTGGACCTTAGAAAACTCCATCTTGGACCTTTGAATGTTCAAAACTTGCAACTGAAAATATCCCTATTTGTAATAAAAGAATGCATCAGGTCAAATATTGCATCAGGTCAACTCTTGCTAAACTTCATGAAAAAAAAATATTTTAAATAATCTATTTAATTGAAAATTAACACAAAAAAAGCTTTCAAGATTGATGCAATTCCGTTTTTTGAAAAAAGAACATTCCCTTGACGCTGTAGTTTCGTTGGAAAAAACTGAGATTTGATTGTAGCAACAGAAACTTGTCAGCTGCTGTTTTTTTAGATTTTGCTCAGTCTTTAAACAATAGTTAACAATTTGTCCCAAAAAATTGAAAAAAAAAGTGTTTCTGAATAAGAACCATCATTTTAAAAACTACGAAAATCAAAAACATGCAGTAATTAGTTTTGAAAACACAAAACTCAAATGGAAAATTTGATTTTTAGAGGGACTTATGGCACACTTCTTGTTCGGACTTATAGTTTTCATTTTCTAGGTTCATATTTTTCTTTCATGAGGTATTCAGTTAGCAAATGATACCAGTTTCCTAGGGATCAAAACAAAACCTCCATATTTTTTGCAAGAACACAAAAATAATGCTACTAGTTGACGTCGATGCTTCCTTGAATAAAAATAGTTTCACATTGAATTCAGATTAAACGAAGTTTTTTTTTGTAAAATTGAGAAGTCTAGACTCATTTGCTCAAGCAATCAGGGCATTAAGGTTTCAGAATTATGCAGATATCTAGGAGTTTTTTCGGAGCAAGATACAGGTTTTTCAGTAGCAGTTACAAAACTCTTTGGAAAATGGTTCAAAAAATCCATTTAGTGTATCTAGTTTGGAATGTGTTACACTTAAGCGTTCGGATGGTTTTATACAAATCTTAAAAAAAATGAATATATTTCATTTTAAAAAAATATTTAAGCAAATAAGATGGGTAAAAAAAAGACATTTTTTTAACGTAAAAAAATTGATAGCACACTTGATCACCTGATTTTTTTCATAAAAAGCTAAATGTTTCCAGCAGAAGTATTAATAACGAAACAAGAGAACACTAGATAAAACCCAAGTGACAATCGAACAACTAAAGAGGCAAAAATTAGCAGCGAAAAGCTACATTAAAAATGGTAAAAAGTTCTTAAAAAGCTCGCAAAAAATACAAGAAAAAAGACTCACTTGTTACAGAAACTCGAATCAGAGCCAATTGGCAGATCACTCGAAAAATTCAGAACTTACTTTCATCAATAAATTTTTTGCTTAGTAAGCGATTCATTAAATATTTCAGTCGATCTCATGTACAAAATATTTTTATATATTTGATTGTTTGTAAATGTAACCATTCCTAGACATGTTTTTCAAAGAAAGTTTAAAAATGTTCTGCTGGGAAAAGTTAAATCGTAGGGGTGTGTGATCTAAATGTGGTCTTTTTAAGGGGGCTACTATTTTGCTTCTTCGATTTGAGCAATTATAAAATCAGATGTGGAAGTTGCGACAGGTCATTATTTTTCAACAGTAATAGCCTAATGTAAAAAATGTTCGACCATAAATCATTTCAGAAAAATACTATTCGAAGAAAATCCATCATTTACTCAATCTGACATTCTGGCAATTTTTCAAGACATAGAAGTTAAGATTCTGATCAGAAACAAAGAGCTTCTTAGGCTCGGGAAAAGAACTAACTGATGAGGAAGAGGATGTCAGCGACTGAATTTATTTTGGACTTGCTCTTCGTGCTCGTGTCTCCCCCTGGCACTAAATGTACCACTCGCTTGAAATAATCCACCTGTTCACGCTGCAGTTGGGCTTGCTACATACAGAAGTTTAGAAATAAACTTATACTGTAATAAGTTGGTTTCAGGAGGCGCAAAATATACTACAAATTATAAAAAGATTACCTTTTAAAAAATCTAGATTTGCCTAAAAGATCACTGAAAGATCACTGGTTCTACCAAACCGTTGTCAGTTACAAAATCACCATATATAATTTACAGTTTGACTATTTTCCCAAGAATTAATCACCAGAAAAAATGGTAGCCGCAAGAAATTAAAATCTTTTGCTCAACAACCTTTTAGAATGTTGAACACGAAGGTCTTGGTTTGAAATAGACGTTCGAAGAGACCAGTTGAAATACTTCGCTAACTGATTTTTTTTTCGTTACAAAATTTACCAATGGTTCAGGAATTTGTGTGTATTATAAGGTAGTTAAATTAAGAATGAAAAGTGTTTGCGACCTTTTCTTGTTATTTTTTGCGAGGAAATGCAGATGATTGACTTGGGGTGCAGAAAGTGCAAGGTGGTTCACCTCTTATAGACAAAATTCTCCCGATTGTTATTAAATAAAGGAAATCATATGAAATTTAAATATTTTGTAATCGCTACAACCACACGGATACAGCTGAAAGTTTTTTTAAAGCTAAAGCAATCATACACAAGTAATCTCATCATACTTTGTATTTGAGGTTTTCCAGCATGGCCTCCTGACGTTTTTTCTGTAGCATAGCGTAGTGTCTGTGTTTAGCACTGCCCACCAATACCTGTAAAACAAATCTCAAATAAGAATGCTCGTGCCAGGGCGAAGACCTGAATGTTATGACCGCTTTTTAAGTTCTATGGAAGCAGTGATCGCTTTTTAAAAAATGAGGAAATTATTTTTTTTTCGTTTTTAATGGTAAAATTAATGGTTTTTCACTTATTTGGCTATACAGTGCTGATTTAAATTAACCGGACAAAACGCGTTAAACTTGAAATTTAAAACCCGTTTTTCTCAAATTGGGTTGAGTTTAGGTGAAAACGTATGAAGACAAAGCTTGCTTGAAATTTTAACAGAATTAATATGGTGTAATTTGTTTTGCGAAATTCGGGCCCAAAATTTTATCCCACAAATGGGTCATTTTGGCGTTTCTTAGTTAATCAAAAATTACGCCAAAAATACCCAGTCGATCACAGACATAATTATATCAAACTGAGCCCTTTACGTAGCCCAACAAACTTTATGAAGGGTATTTTCTCCAAAATATTGTATAAGTTAAATTATTTTTGTTTGATAGACAAAAAAGGTCGTTTTTACTATATAAAATACCAATTTTTTATTTAAAAACAATTTTCAAACAATTTGCAGATTTTTTTTAGAGAAAATACCCTTCATAAAGTTTGTTGGGCTACGTAAAGGGCTCAGTTTGATATAATTATGTCTGTGATCGACTGGGTATTTTTGGCGTAATTTTTGATTAACTAAGAAACGCCAAAATGACCCATTTGTGGGATAAAATTTTGGGCCCGAATTTCGCAAAACAAATTACACCATATTAATTCTGCTAAAATTTGAAGCAAGTTTTGTATTCATAAGTTTTCACCTAAACTCAACCCAATTTGAGAAAACCGGGTTTTAAATTTCAAGTTTAACGCGTTTTGTCCGGTTAATTTATATCAGCACTGTAGTTTTGAATAATAAATTTGGGTATAAAAATCTCACACCTGCTTGGTTAGTTTCAAACGAATTGAAAAATTGCAGTTAATCGTGACTTTAATTTTTGAAAAGTAATATCAGTGGTAAATTTAAAGCCCCCCTTCAGCGCCCTTACCCTCCGAAACCATTTGATACTAATTTAAGACAGGGGTCAAAATATTATAAATTTATGGGCTGCGCAACTGCGTTACAAAACACATTCTTTGAAACAAAACCATCCAAAAATTATACCTCGTTATTGTCGAGCCGTCGTCCAAAAAAAAGTGAACAAGAAAGTCGTAAAGGCTTGTTCACTTTTCCGATTACGGTTTTTGTAAATGTGTGCAAATATTTCTGAGTCATATCATAATATTTAAGTTGCTTTAAAGTTGCGTTTTATGCGCACACTTTGTAAAACTGAGAATATAAGCTGAAAATAAGCTGATTTTCAGTTTTATGGCACTCATTAAGTGATGCTATTGAAAACGCAATCCTTATTTCTACATTTGATTGCGGGCTGAACTTATTTGCAAACAATTTATTACGATTAATAGTTTGTCATTAACGTGTGAAAGCTTTCTTTTTCAAGCGTTTTTTAATTTCACCTTCTCCCAAATAGTGTCATGACACGAATAGCAGCTGCGCTCGTCGGGTGCCACTAGAGATTTCTTCCCTGCTGGTTGTAGAGATCTCTGCAGCGTGGAGTCGTCTGCTCCGAGCGAGTCGGAACACGAGTTGATACTGTGCAATGAGTCGAACAGAGATTTGTTGGAGGAAACTAAAAAATCAGGAGAACAGGTCTTTTCTTATGTCAGTCTTTTTTATGTCCGTTTTGTCAGTCAAAATCAATCTTTTCATGCCCGTTTTTTTTTTTCAAATATAAATAATAAGGAGCCACACCACATATACATCGTATTTACTTAATCTTAGTAGTTGCGTTAATTTAGAAAAATAAAAAAAAAATCCGTTTCTGGGAAAAACGCTAGTCCTATATGAGAATTAACTGGCTAGTAGTTTTCCGTAAGCTCGTCGGTGTCGGTATTCGAGTTAGGGTGTTTTATGGGGGTTTTTAGGGGAGCTTAGAAAACCACACTAGACGACCAAAATACGGACGACAAATTTTTAATATATATTGAGAAAAAAAAACCTTGACTTTCTGGCCTTTTGTTCCAAGTATGGGAAAAAAATGCGGATTTAATGTGCTCGATGTCTTTTTTTACTCGCATTTTGATTTATTCTCTAGTCTTTTTTGACGCTGATTTCAATATCATCAAGAAGATCTTGATGTCTTCAGCTCAGAAAAGAATCTTTCACCTGCAGCAAATCATGGTGAATTTATGGCTGTTTGGAAAAACTTTGGATAAAAATCAAGCAGTGTATTTTGTTCTTTTTAATCGTAATTAGTAAATAATACCGGCTTATCATTGATTCCAATTTGAGTTTGAACTATTTTGTTGGTCCTATTGATACGTTATTATAATCAAAAAATATTAAATATAGCGTATAGCATCGGGGGAACACAGTTTTACAAAATTTGGGTTTTTTGAAATTATGCAAAATCATCGTTTTTGCTGCAGAAGGACGGACTTTAAAAATCTAACCATTCTATTTCATTAGAAGTCAAATAGCAATTAACACATTTTGATCTCTTTGCGAAACGAAAACTAAAAAAAAAAGAAACGTTTTCGCGTAGCTATCGCAGTGTTGGGGTGGGTAATCATGGTAACTTGGACCTCGGCTGGTTTTGTGTTAATCGGAATGTACATACACGCCATATACACAAAATAACACATGATTAACAAATAAAGTTCTGTTGTATCTTGAGTTGAAACAATCCTATGCGTATTCAGTGAAAATTAAATCGAGCCGTTTTGATTTCAACGTATGATTCTTGATTTATGAATAAATTAAACAAGACTGCTAATATCAGGGTGAAGCCCTGAATGTTCCGCCTGCCCATTAAGGTTTATGGAGCACAGTAAAATCATTAAAAAATTAAAAGTAATAAAACAAAATGAAAAAAAATTTTTCAAAAATTTGAAATTTTTTTTATAAAAATCATCCCCCCACACGCCATGTAAAGTACTAAGGGATAGATTTCGCTACTTGTAACAAATCAATTATGGTAAATAAGCTTCGTTAAACCAATTTTGAACGATTTCTAAGACGGATTAACTCTCCGCTTACTCGTAAATAGCGCGAAATATATCGCGCGTTAATTGTCCCAAATTGGCCAAAATGGCAATCTGTAAACCCTCATAACTTTACGAAAAATGATCACAGGTGAAATATCCTTTCAAATTTGAGCTCAGGACAACAACACCTTTCGAATGATATAAAAAAACCGTCAAAAATGGCTAGTTAAAAAGTCAAAATTTGTCTGAAGAAAAAAAAACCCACCCCGAGCACAAATATTCCGTCACTTTCGTATCGAAAGTCGGAACAAAAATCTAACGATCTCAGTTTCTTAACCAATTCTGAGACGATCGAACAAATTAACGTCCAGTAATGAATGCAACCGGGCCAATTAGTATCGAGAAGGGCCAAACCTTGTGTCGAATTAGCAGAACTCCTTTGAAATTTTTTATTTTTAAAAACCTTTCTGGATATTTTTGGATTTTTTTTTGCTCCCAGACAAATCTAGAAACATTTGGTTCATTTTAATCTTTTAGGAAAAACAATATTTCAACTTTTTGGCGTATCAACTAAAATCTAGTTAGAGCTCTTATCGCTTCAGCCTCATCATCATTTTCATTATAATCTGGTTGCTTATACAAATATTGCTTGGCAACTTTTTTTTGCTGCTGCTTGTTAACTAAAATTGCTGGTGCATGGCAGTTTTTTTTTGTCCGCAGCATCAATATTTCTGAACATCAAAATTTTTAGCGGTTTTTTTGGCTTTCAAAACTCTTCTTTTTGTCAATAATTTTTTCATTTTTCAAATAGCAAGGCGTAATGCGGCTTTCAACTCGTGTATCGCGCACTTTTTTCTTTTTTAAAAAAAAGTTTTTGCGCTATTAAGTTGCGTACAAACCAGACTTAGAAAAACCGTGTTTCGATACCACTTTTGAATTTTGGGGTTGATATTTCAATTGTGGGTTTTATTGGCAATTTATAACAAATAATTGACCCGCAAAAACAAAAACTAATTTTTTCGTTAGATTTTTTTTATTTCTGGCAGAGAGCGTCAAGACGAAATTGATTTGCTGCTTTTTAGTCTTCGAGCTAGAAAAGATGGTATATTTTCATGGGCAATTGAAAGTTTATGCTTTTAAGTTTAAATTAAAGTTTATCTTTGCTTGTTTGAAAATCGTGTAAAAAGGTTGTTGTTCCGACTTTCGATACGAAAGTAACGGAATATTTGTGCTCGGGGTGGGTTTTTTTTTTCTTCAGACAAATTTCGACTTTTTAACTAGCCAATTTTGACGGAATTTTTTTATTCGACATTCAAACGATACTGCTGTTATGAGCTTAAATTTGAAAAGATATTTTACCTGTGATCATTTTTCGTAAATTTATGAGGATTTAAAGATTGCCATTTTGGCCATTTTGACCAATTTGGGACAATTAAAGTGCGATAAAATTCGCGCTATTAACGCGTAAGTGGAGATTTAATCCGTCTTAGAAATTGTTCCGAATTGGTCGAAAGAAGCTTTTTTGCCATAACTGATTTGTTACAAGGAACTAAATCCATTGTTTTGTAATTTATATGGCGTGTGGGGATGATTTTCTTTAAAAATATTTCAAGTTTTAGAAAAGTTTTTCATTTAATTGTATTTCATTCAGTTTTTTTATGTTGTTTATGTTATGCCTGCTCCATAAACGTTAAAAGGCAGTCGGAACTTTCAAGGCTTCGCCCAGAATGGAGCAGTCTTGTTGCTGTTTGGTTTTGATACCTGGTTGACGAATCGACATGTTTTCTGCACGTTGTTCTTTTTAGTCATTTTCTTCGGAAGGAAAGCATACATACTATTGCACAAGTCTAGTATTGAAAGTACTAGAACTCTTGCTAGCATGCTTCGGTTTTTGAGAACTGAGGTAATGTATAATGGAATAGAATTTCCGCAACTGTTTTTCGTAAATATCGGCCGTTTTATCAGGTTTATTAAGAGAAATGTTTACAAGAGAGTCGGCCGTGTAAATCTGGTATATGAAAATATGATCTAAACTTTATTTACCTGCTATAAATATTTGTCCGCATAGAAAATGAAACACAAGAAAAAATTCGGCCTAAATGGTCAAACGATAACCGGTTTTCAATGAGACGGTCGAGCGAAAGTTTTGTTAAAACCAACGTCGAATCAAGGGTTGAACGAGCTCAAATAGTCATAAAAAAGGCCGAATTGTTGGTCGATTCAAGAGTCCAGCAAGGCCGAATTTTGAATCAAACAGGACAAACTCTTTTTTTATGTAACTATGTACTTGGCTTAAAAAAAAACTTGGTTTGCTTTAGCAAAAAAAAACTCTATTCTTTGAAATTTTCCATCAGCACATCTCATTGGGCGACACTCCATTTCAAACAGTTATTTATACTGAAAAAACTTTATACTGAAAAAAATTGTCTTGATTTGAATTCCTCTTCTATAGACACTCTTTTTCTATAATAAAAAGTCACCATAAGTTGCGTCCTGAACTTATAATCTATGTTTTGTTAATTTATTTTGTTTGATAGTCAAACATTGCTGTTTGGTTTTGATATCTGGTTGACGAATCGACATGTTTTCTGCACGTTGTATTTTTGAGTCATTTTTTTTCGGAAGGAAAGCATACATACTGTTGCACAAGTCTAGTATTGAAAGTACTAGAACTCTTGCTAGCATGCTTTGGTTTAAAGAACTGAGGTAATGCATAATGGAATACTATTTCCGCAACTGTTTTTTTTGTGAATATCGGCCGTTTTATCAGGTTTATTAAGAGAAATGTTTAAAAGAGAGCCGACCGTGTAAATCTGGTATGCGGAATTTGTTTCCATGAGAACTTCAAGCAGCGGGGTTATGTAGACCGAAAAAAGAAGCAGCCTTAGTAGAAATCCCTGCGGAACTCCAGTTGACTGGAAATAGTGGTTTGAGTAACATCTTTTCTTTCTCACGTCTTGATTTCGTTTGTTTAATTATGATATAAACAATCCTAATGCAGAATTTTTGATTACAAAAGATTTTATAAAATTTGCTCACTCATTTGATAGTTTAGAGTATCAAAGGCAGCTGATAAATCTAGTGCAATTAGGCATAATGATTTTTGTATGACTAAATTTGTCATCACATCAGATGAGTTATTTAATAAAGTGGTCTGTGTCGATTAAGCCCATCTGTAAGTTTATTGGCGAGTATCTAGCAAATTGTGACTAGAATATTTATCATTTATTTCATCACATAAAAAACTCTCTAAACTTTGTTGAAAAAGAGAAAGTTAGAAACTGGTCGAGTTGACGACAATATATGGTCTATATTTGGTTTCTTGAGGTGAGGCTAACAAACGCTTTTTTGAAATGGGAAGGGAAAACGTAAGAATTAATCGATTGGATGATGAGGTGAAGCAAATGAACTCCATGCCGATTTAAGTTGTTAAAGTTGAGGTTCTGATAACGGGTCCCCGGGTGAAGTTGCGTGTGATTAGTTTATTATTCAATTGACTGCTTCTTGAGAATATGATCAAAAATTTTATTTACCTTCTATAAATATTTGTCCGCATAGAAAATGAAACACAAGAAAAAATTCGGCCTAAATGGTCAAACGATAACCGGTTTTCAATGAGACGGTCGAGCGAAAGTTTTGTTAAAACCAACGTCGAATCAAGGGTTGAACGAGCTCAAATAGTCTTATAAAAGGCCGAATTGTTGGTCGATTCAAGAGTCCAGCAAGGCAGAATTTTGAATCAAACAGGATAAATTCTTTTTTTATGTAACGATGTACTTGGTTTAAAAAAAAAAACTTGGTTTGCTTTAGCAAAAAAAACTTCTATTCTTTGAAATTTTCCATCAGAACATCTCATTGGGCGACACTCCATTTCGAACAGTTATTGCCGCATTTGATTTTCATTATGGTAAAAGTTTATTACAAGAGCAGTCCATGCAATATATAAAAACTTTATAATGAAAAAAGTTTTGTTACTTTGATTTCCCTTTCTATAAGATACTATTTATCTATAATCAAAAGTCACCATAAGTTGCGTCCTGAATTTATAACCTATGTTTTGTAAATTTATTTTGTTTGATCAAAAGATGCCTGGTAATCTCTAATAATTTTCAACAATGTTTCGGTAACAATGTAACCAAGTCAAACAAAGCAGAGCAAAGAAAGTAAAAGAAGTTCAAACTACGTCACACGCGGACATTGTTCACAGAAAAGTTCCAAAACGGACATCGCTCGATCCAAAAAGTCGAAAACATACATCGTTCGATTTAAAAAAAAATTGAAAACGGACATCGTTTGACCGTTTCCGTCGAACGATGAGTCGAGCGCGTATGCCTAGGGGCTATGCATATGCATTTTTTGTGATAATTTTCCTGAGCTATTTAACGTTTCTTCACCCTCGAGATCACTGTAGGCTTCGAACCAGCTACCTTTTGATTGAGCGGCAACCATTTAGACATTGTTGCAATATCAAAGGCAGTTATGGATTTGCTTCGCTTCTATCTTACCCAGGTTGGAGTAGATCTGTGTGTCTTTGGAGTATTGTCTTTTCTCGTCACTGTTCCTGAATCGGTCGATCGCGCTTCTTCTCAGATGTGAGTCTGTGTGAGCCGGCACTTTGAACAGGTAGCCATACTTTTGCCAGATCAACTTCTGGTCCAGCTCTTTCCTGATCGTAAATTTAGTTGGCTTCAAAATTTTATAACCTTTTTGAGCTAAATAACTTAACAAACGGAACGAGTGTTCAACTGTGATTGTCATTTTGTGACAACGCTAGTCCTAAAGAAAAAAAGCTTCCATATTTACTAATTTCAAATAAAAGCTAAGCTGTTCACGAGGTTTGTGATAAAATATTACTTTGTTGTAGGTAATTCTAAGTTGAAACTATTAAAAAGAATAAAAAATTAAAGTGAATTAGTCGGTAAGTTAAAACATTAAAATAATGAGAGATCATTCTCTCCGCCGGAGAGAATGGCCAGTGAAGAACATAAAAGAGTGACCTGTTATCTAAATCTAATTAAGCTAAATAAGGTTTGCAATAAATGCAAAATAAGATCCAATCACAACATTCTTCTAAGCAGGAAAAATTTTAATTAGTGCCCGATAAGTAAAAATATGAAATAACTGAGTCTGAGTCCTTTCTCTCCCTTTCGGGGACAGAGAAAAAGATTTTATTGCACTACTGAGTAAGTAACTGAAATTAGCCCAAAGCACCAACAATAGCACTAAGTAATGCACTAGTAATTGAGGTTGAGGTTATCCGGTATCCAACGGATAGGATCTATAAAAAAATAGGCAAGGGGTAGCAAATCCAAAAACTAAATTATCACCGCAGGTTAATGGGCGAAGAGGTGTGAGGTCACGGAAGTTAAATAATTGCCTGAGATGAATTTTATAAAGGCAGAATGCGACGAGCAAAATATCGAATGATCACTCCGAAGGATTGATGAGTTACAAACAGTTATGCACACTAAGTCTTCCAACTCAGGTTTGTGGAAAATACAGTTTAGCACCGGTTAGTAGAGTGGAAAGTACTCGAGAAGGGAACAGGTATTAAGATTATCGTTTACAACTTCTATACTCAATTAAAAAGTTTTCAAGTTCAGCATTAAAAAGTTCACTATCGAGTTCTGAATGTTCTCCAAAATTATCTACTGCCAACCTTAACGATTCATCAGTTGAAGAGGTGGAAGTTTGTTCGGGAGATGGTGAATCCGAGTCAAGTAGGATCAACTCCGCCGGAGCCACAGCAATGTCTGCCTCGTGAGTGGTGTTATCGTCTATTTCTACCACGATGGGGTTAGCTTCCGTACCAGAGGTTTCTTGGGATCTATCTACAGCATCTATAAAATACTTTTGACTGTAAAATTTTGGTGGTCCAACACTCCTACTAGAGCATCGGATGATGGGAGGACTTTTACCAGGTTTGTTGGTAGAGTCGTGAGTCGAGGTGCAATCGTCAGCGGAAACTACTATTTCGTGAACCGGGAAGTCTGTTACTGTGCCCGAGTCCGTTGGATTACGATCGCCCTGAAGTTCCCGTGGCTTGATGATGGTTTCCTCCTCCACCTGTGGTGTAGTATTATGTTCCAGTGCACTAGAGGTTCGGTTAGCGGGGATAATGCTTATTGGGCATTCAGAAGTCTGGTCCCCAAATTGTTCTCCGTATTGAGCCGTATTGTCTTCTAAAACCTCAGATTTTATGTCATTTTTGGTTACACTAAAATTAGGGCTAATTTCATTTGGAATATGAGTCGTGCGTGAGTCGGAAACAAAACGCTCTCTGGCTACATCTCAACAAGGGAAACCGCCCGCTATCCATTCCCATTCGCTAGTATCCTAAATATCCGAAGGAATTAGCATGGATTCATCTGAAGCTAGATAACCTGGAGGGGTTGACGACTTCTTTGAGCGGCGAGTTTGTCTTCGGATTGGTTTGGAGGATGTCCCCGACACACGTGTCCTTATCAGATTATCGGATGGGGCCAGTTCAACTTGTTTGCGAGTCCTAGGAATCGGTTTTCTCGGTTTTGGCTTTCGTCTCAAACCCTCATGCTTCTGACTTACTTCAACATTAGGATTAGGGAAATAAGGGAATAAAATATTTCCTTTAAAAGGTCTGATTTTATTCGAGGTACATTTAGGAGTCGCAATGTCCGGCTTTCGTATTATTTTTCCGTCGGATAATTCTACTGTCGAAGTAGACGAATTTATAAATCTTTTGTTTAGTTCCTTATATAAACAGTCTCGATTGATGTTACCATTTGTTTTCCGAAAGATTTTACCATTGAAAGGGCTTTGGAGAGGTATTCTATCGGACTTAATTTTCGAGGATGAGGCGTAGTCAGTGTCATAGCCCTTTTCGATTGGCGTTTGGTTGTTTTTCGCTACCAAGTCGTCGTTGTATCCATCCTCGAGTCTATCGTCCGAGTTCCAGTCATTTGCCCGTTCTTTAGATAATATAGATTTCCCTTTGTCTAAAATTCCAAAGGAAGGTTTATCAGAAGCTAATTGTTTCCAAATTGTATTTGGTTTTCTGTTATAATGAATTTCAAATGGAGAAGATTTGATTTTAGATTGGTAAGATGAACGTAAATTCCAGATAATTTTTGAAACGGCTTTTTGAAGTGTACAATTTTGATTTTCTTGTGAAATAGCAAGTAGTTTAATTACAGTGTGTACCAATTTTTCGACTAATCCGTTGGAACGATGGTCACCTACTGTACAAAATTTTATTTAAATATTGTTCGAATCACAGAATAATTTAAAATCTTGGCTTGTAAAGCAAGTCACGTGGTCTACAACCCTTTTTGAATATGGTATACCATGTAAAAACATGTAATCCTGTAAAAATTCGATAACTGTTTTTGCAGAAGTGGAAGACGTAGTTTTTGCCGACGGAAATTTGGAAAATCTATCGATGCGAAGTAAAATATATTTGTTTGACCCCCAATAGGAATCCAAGGGTCCGGCGAAGTCTAAGTTAAGTTCTTCGTTTGGTTCCAATAATGGAGGAAATTCACTAGTTTGTGAATTCGGGATAACAGTTTTCAAATTCTTACCCGCCGCTGTGCATTCTGAGCAGTTTATGCCATGAAAGTAAATTTACCTGTTAATATGAGGCCACCAGATGTATTGGGCCAAATACTTCATTCCGAATTGACCTGGATGAGTCTGGATGAGTTTCATGCAGTGTCTTCATCATCGCATTTCTCAGGGTAAAAGGTATAACTAGTTTACCGTCCATGTATAACAATCCGTTGGATTCGTGTAAATCTCTGGTGAAGTGTTTAAAGTAAGGGGAATTTGCATTAATCTTCTCCACTTTGTTTTGAAGTGCCTTGACTATCGGGTTCAACATGGGGTCGTCTTCTGTCAAAAAGGCTACCAGCTTGGCGTTAAAGAGGATGTTCAAGTCCAAGGGTCGATCCGGAAACTTCAAGTCAGTTAGGGTCAGTTAATAACGGGAGATCTAAATCTACTGAAATACCGGAAGTAGAGGGATTAATTACAAAATTCTTATAATTCATATTAACACAATCTCCATTTTTTTTATCTACAGGCGAGTTAATCAATCTACAATTAAGAATTAAGAAGTAAAAAAATGCGGGATTAGAAATAGAATTAATTATTGGGTTCGTGTTTGAATAATCCGTAGGAAAACAATTTGAAGGACAAAAAACCGTTCTATTGTGATTAGATGAACAAATTGGGAAATTCGAGTTTATTACTTTTAGTACTGACGCTATTAAGTAATTACTTAATTTAGCGTAATCGGAACTTTCCAGATTTGAACCAATGGCTGAGCAGGTAATTTTTTGTTTCTCCGACGGATTAATAAATTTGTTAATCTTATTAATATTTGCCACTACAAATTCTTTGTCGTAATGAGATATTGGGAGGGTTTTTCCAGATAGAATCCTAGAAATAAGGTCAGTGAAGACCATATCCTTTCCTGCTAGATGTCTGATTGTAAAATTAAAAGGTAGCAATCTGTCCACCCATCTCGTTAATCTACTATGATATGTTTTATTTCCCTGGTTTGGTGAGAGGGCGGAAAGTAAAGCTTTGTGGTCAGTAATTACTTCGAATTCCGATCCGTAAAGGTAGTTTTTGTAGTGTTCGACGGCCCATACGACCCCTAACAATTCGAGCTCGTTCGTAGAATATTTTGACTCGTGTGGGTTTAAAAAACGAGAGGCAAAAGAAAGTGTTTTCCAGTCATTCCCATGGAGTTCTTCAAGTGAAGCTCCCAAACCATTGTGAGAAGCGTCCTTTTTTACTCTAGTGTTGCATTTTACATCAAAATGGGTATTCTCTGTTAGATTTACAATTTCTTGTTTAATTTTCTCAAACGCTTTCGTATGGTCGTCGTTCTATTGGAAGATCGATTTCTTATTGAGTAGCGGTCAAAATGGGCTTCCTAGAGAGGCTAAATTTGGGACAAACTTGATGTACTGGTTTATAGATCCGAAAAATGATCTTAGTTCTTTCAAGTTCTTTGGAACAGGTAAGTCCTTAATTGCTTTCGATTTTTTTCAAATAAAGGTATAATTCCTGTTTTTGAGATTTTAAATCCCGACCACTTTATTTCTTTTTGAAAGAATTTGCATTTTGACTATTTGACCGCGAAGTTATATTTGTCCAGTGTCGATAAAATTTTTAACACAATGTTCTTGTGGTCTAAAAATCTTGTGGTGATTTTCATCTGGTTTTTAATTTTTCCAATCCGAAGGAATAAATTTTTAAATGTTTTTGATATGTTTAGAATTTCCCTATCTTTGTCTGTTTGAGAGATGGAATTTAATAACTTACACTGCTTGTTAGTCTGGAAATGCGGGAAGAACTTCTGTGAGACTTCTATCCACACTTTCGGTACATTGTTTCCTAAGATATTTCTCTCGTGTCCCTCGGTCAAGAAGAAATGACAGTTGTCTGACCAACCGTATGAGAAGATCGGAAGTTTCACCTTTCCAGAAATGTTTATGGCGTTATCCGTGAATCCACAGTAAAGGTCCTTGGTTGCCTTGTCCACCGGATAGAATTTCAGGTAAGGGTATCGTAGTTTCAATTCGTGTAACACGTTTTTCTTGAGGAAGCTGACCGGGCTAGCTGAATCCACTTGTATAATTAGAATTACTTGATTTTCTTTTCCGAGGCCAATAATCAATAATTTCTTCAATTCTTTTCCGTCCTCGTCAAAAATCGTAGTTACGTTTAATACAGAATAATCGTCGTTTTCGCTTTGTCCAGATTCCGACCATACGTTTATGACGCCACAACATTCTCTATCTACATGGTCTGTTTTTAAATCCAGAATATTCGACGGATTAAAATCTGTATTATCTACAATTTGGCTATTTACAATGTTTACATTTTTACGGCGAGATCTACAAAATCTGGTAAAATGACCTTTATATTTACAAGAAGTACAGGTAGTGTCCTTTGCTGGGCAAACTGCTAGATGGCCTTTTGAGAAGATTCCGCCGCACTTCATACAGTTGTTGCTTTTTTCAATATTGAGAGTTGGCTCTCTTTTAACGTTAAAGTGGCTGTGTGATTTATGTACGGATGATCCGTTGGATTTAAAATTGTTTGTTAGTTTTAGGTGATTTAAAATTCCCTTCTCATCTATGAGTGCTACGTTTAGTGCTTCTCTTGGGGAAGAGTTTCTGTTAGCAGTTTTCTTTGGATGTCGTAGTTTTTCATGTTGTTTATGAAAATGTCTCGTATCCACTCTTCTTCTCCTTCGGTTATGTCGCATTTTTTTAGCCATTTCTCTTAAGGCACCCCAAAATTGTTCCAGCGATTCTCTATCCCGTTGTTTTCGGTTTAGCAGTTTATGTCGTTCAAATGTGACGTTTGTTTTTTTTACGAAAGCGATCGCTAGGAAGTCCCAAAATTCTTTAAAAGAGATTTGTAAGATTTTCACCTTGGTAAATTTTTGTCCGAAAATCCTTTTTCCTTCGTTTCCCAATGCTAGGTATAGGACTGATTGTAATTATTTATCTGCTTCTTCTAGTCGCATTCCATTGAATTTCTTGGTTTCAGATTTAATGGAGGCTGATTCCTCTTCGTCATATCGTCTTTGTTCTTGGGTGTTTCTCTCCATTCTCGACTGTCTTTGGTTATCTGTTTCACCGTCCATCGTATTTTCCAAATTTGGAGGTTGAGGGTGATGTTTCTCCGAAGGATTTAGTAAGTTTTCTATGTCTATATTCTCTTTAGCAATTATAGCTAAGTGAAACAGATCGCTCAAATCTTCCCCGGGAATGGGGGGATTTACAGTATGGTTTTGCCAAAATGAAGGTATTCCTCTCACATTAGATTCGTTATTTGACTGCGCCATGATAAAATATTACTTTGTTGTAGCTAATTCTAAGTTAAAACTATTAAAAAGAATAAAGAATTAAAGTGAATTACTCGGTAAGTTAAAACATTAAAACAATGAGAGATCATTCTCTCCGCCGGAGAGAATGGCCAGTGAAGGTCATATAAGAGTGACCTGTTATCTAAATCTAATTAAGCTAAATAAGGTTTGCAATAAATGCAAAATAAGATCCAATCACAACAGTTTGAAAGAGTTTATTGATCGGCAAAAGAAAACATTTCATTAAAGTTTGCGGAGACTATATATTTGAAAAAAAAATTTAGTTTTTTTTTCTTAGAATCTATTCAAGCTGCAGTTAAAGTCAGGGGGCGCATCTAGTAAACTGAGCCAAAATGGCATTTTAGGCATTTTTTTGAAGTTTTTTTGAATGCCAATTGGAATTTTTTTCTTAAAGTATATTAAAAAGTAGAACAGGTTACCAATTCAAACAAACTATTTCTCCTACCTTCTGAGATCGGCTTTCTGCGTGTGTTTGAGGAAGTTAATGTGTTGCTGTAGCCTGTCGTTCTCTCTTACATTCATCAGAATGGCACTATCCTCGTGGTTCTTGCGCTGATGGCTCTGGTTCGAAGCCCCGCCTCCTCCCCCTCCTTTGTAGCCTACCATCTTGGAATGACAATCTATCAATGAGGAGCCAAACTGGTTCAATCTTAATTACATTTGATTTTTTGGAAAAACGGAATTCGAAACGATGGATTTCAGAAAGAAAAAGAATAAATTGAAGCAGATAACAGTTGCAGAAAACGAACGTTTCACATTTAGAAATTGGTCTCCTTTGAAGCTAGTTAAGAGATTTATTCTTGTGAAGCTCTCATTAAAATTCATCAAAAGTGCAAATTCAGATGTCTCCTTAAAGATCTACCTGCAATTCGTCTTAATATAATCATTGTTTGATTGAATTTCGGAATGCTGTTGTTTGTTTGTTTTCTAGTTTGAAAGAGAAAAAGACAGATGATTTGTGCCGCTTGACTTAATTTGGATCAAATAAATTCTTTGTTTAAATCGACAACGTTGACGAGAGCATTTCGCGGTCTTTTATTGCTCAAAAGTCGCGTTTTGCTCCCAACGATCGCAAATAGATTCTCAAAATCAATATCAAACACTGGTAAAATTCTGGTGAGGGAAGGGGGGGGGGCGTCTTAGGACTTGGACTGTCTGTCCGAACTGGCTTTCCGATCGTTTGAGGGGCCATAGTCGACCAAGGGATGTTATCTTGCAAAATCTTGCAAGATAACGTCCTTTAAAGATTGCATACATGCACAGAGCCCGCTAGGTGGTTGTCCCCTGAAAGCGTTTCTTTTCGAATTTTTTATGAAATAGGCGGATATCTGTAAGTTTTCATCGACAACTCATAGCTTAGTCTCTTACAAAAAATGCTTCAAACGAAGGTATAAATTAAACAACATTGTGAGCAAGCATTATTGGTAATAGCAAGAAGCACAGAATGAATGAAAGTTCTTTCAAACTTGATAGGTGATTTTCGTATTTTCTTCTGTTCAATGCTCTTTACCGACTTTACTGGTTTGGCCACATTTTACTGATAAGGATGTTATATTTTTCCCATTCTTTCATCTACGATCGTAGTTGTTGTTTTTGTATTTCGAGTTCATTTAAGATCTCTGAAAATTGGCAATTAGTAACAATTTGAGCTGTAAAACAAAAACATACAACTTCCTAAAATAAAGTCACAATGTATACAAGATATTGTTTTAAAAAAATTTTTTTTTAAAAATTTTTTGAATCTTTTTGAACTCGGATAGAAACTATGACCAGCAAATTCCTACAACTTTCCTTTAACTGTTTCAAATAAAAGTTTCATAAAGTTTCGAGTGTGTTTTTTGTCTTCAACAATTTTTATACAATAAAAATTCAATCGTTTTTCATTTCAAAATGCGAGCAAGTTGTACAAAAACTTGAATCTCAAAATCATTGATCGCAGCACTTACTGAGACTAAATATTACCTGTTCAAAACTAACAATTGCAAGTAAAAACTAAGATAATAGCAAACAGCGAGTTGGAAAGAGTCAAGGCAACCAAGGAAAGAACAAACACTTACTTTTTTAGGGGAAAAATCAACTTTCGAACTTCAGAGTTAAAAAAAGGTTGCCTTAAAGGCCTCTGAGTAACAAAAATAATTCGTGATTTCAAATTTTTGATTAAAAAACTCAATTTGAGAAAACTGGATCAATTTATTCATTTTGTTCCCGCTGGGAGAATTGAAAGTTAAAATCCACTTTCAAGAATAGAAGTCAATAAACTTTCTGTAATTTTTTCACGTTCGTTTATCGATAGCAGCATCGTAGTCTTTTTAATGAAAGAAAAAACGGAACAAAAAAACGAGTTTCAAACTGCAAAAAACCAGATTTGAGCGCGCATGAACGCAGTTGGAAAAAAATCCGACTTTTTTGAAAAGTCTCAACTTTCGAGATGCAAAAAAAAATTCCCTTGAAAATTTTGAAAATTTTTGAACGACAATTTTTTAAGCAAAGCCAACAGACAGTTAGAAAAAAGTCAATGAACGGGAAAAAGACTGAACTTTTTGACTCATTTTCAGTATTAATTTTTTCAAGAAAAAACAGATGTCCTTAAAGCTTTTTGAGTTTCTAGAAAAATTTTGATTGAAAGTTTTTTCATAAGTTAACCCAATTTGATAAAACTGGATGAAAAGATGTCTTTCAGCAGACAAGATACAGACTGCCACCAAAATCCCACTGAGTAGGTCAGTCACATCAACAGCGGTAAGCTATTTTCTTACAAAACAGCTTTCAGATTTTTGTGAGTAATTCCGACGAGCCGAAATTTTTTTGATTCCAAAAATTCAACACTCTTTGTTGCGCTAAAACAAAAATCGAATATTTTTTATAAGGTTTTTGAGTTATTGATGGGCTGTTGCCGAACTATCAATCATTTTACTTCAAAAAATATGTAAGAAAATTAGCATCGAAAAAAGTGTTTTCTTCTGATGATTAGAACAAAATTTTTTTGAGCTTAAATGGTTCTTCTGGCTTTCATTGTAAGTGTTCTTAGACTTAATTCTAGTTTTTTTCCAATATGCTGAAGAATAACAAAATGTAATCAAAAAATTTTGAGCTTGATTACCTTTGTAAGTCCTCAAGCCAATTTTTAATTTTACTATTAAAATTACAAGCTACTAGATCCAAAAACTGAATTATGTCCTGATCAAGTTTACATCGAATTGAGACAAAAACAATTGTAAGAATAAAAGCAGATTTATGCAGAAAAAAACTAAAACATTAATTGGCAATTCAACAACAAGAGATTTCATGTAGCTCCTACATGCAAATTCTCAAAAAACAAATAATAAAGAAGTTTGTTTGGTCAAAAATAATCACTTCAGTAAATCAATCTGCAATTGATTTGATAACAAAGACTTTTTTAGTGCTTTGATAGCGTGTCTGAAGGATGCGAAATAACTTATTTCCGAAACCCAAACCTCGAAAATTTATGATATGTGGTTGTTTAATTTTTCAGTCAGCTGCCAAAAACGCTGTTGGTTGAGATTGATCTTTTAATTTTTTATTACACCAATTTTGTATAAGCTGAGGAGAAATAAATCAAACTTTTTTTTATTGAGCAAAATTCTATATACTTCAAATTATAGAGGAAAAATAGAGCAAATTTCAAAATTATTTCGATTTTTTTGTCAGTCTGGAGTCTGGGACAGTTTGATGCACAGCAAAATAGAACACAGAGGATTCATCGAAAGCATGCTCTACACAATTTATTACAAAATAAATTAACATAATTGCTCAAGTTATGTTATATCTTATTTAGTCGAGAAAGTTTTGAATGCTTGTTCTAGAACCCATTTATTCTTGTGCTCCTTATTTTTTGTTGATTTGTTATTTTTGGACAGATTCTTACTAAAATCTTGCAAAACAACCTACTTTTTTCAAGATTTTGTACAATAGTTTTCTTTGATTGACTAGGATGGACAATGTTTTGATGCAAAATAAATAGATATTTTTTGAAACTGACCGAATTGGTTGAAAATTCAAAAGAGTTTACAAGATGTGGCTGTTTTTAGTACGGTCAAAGAGTAGAAAACATTTATTTCAATTTTGTCAAAAAGTGCACAAACACAGATATTGACCAATCAGAATCGAGATGATATAAACAAACTTAAGCAAGAATAAAAACTAACTAATTATTTCGTAAGTTTGTTTTCTTAGCTCGATTTTGATTGCTTAACATAGTAGGAGTCTACTATATGACGTGTCTAATTTATGACCTGTTTACTTTTTGCTGCGTAACTGGCTGTCGTAGAATAGCACCGAGAAGAATCTTCATTGACGTTGAAATGTGATTGACTCTTGCGAAGAAAATTTATCTCTTCAGCCAACCCTTTGTCTCTCAGATGTTCGGTTTTCCGACCATCTAAGAATCCCCTTTGCTTGTTCTTACGATATCAGTTTTCAATGAGGTTCCTAAATTGTTCGAAGCCGGTCATGGGCTCCAATATATTTATATAAATAATGTTTTTGGTTTTAAAGGGCTGGCGCACTGGAAAAGCGCACTTTTTAAATGATAAAAGCTTTCCATCGGTTCAACCCTACAATCGTCTCCCCCCACTATGTGACCCACCGTACAATAATTTCCCCAAGCATGTAACAATTATAAAATTAATTTGCAGAAATAAACGCACAATTGGTTTACTTAATGATTCAGTGGCATTGCGTTTGAATGCTGTTAATGACATAAATAATTGTATTTTTTTTTACAACAAAACTATTTTTTTTATATTCAAAACTAGGTTTATTTAAAAAAAAACAGGTCTTTGCAGTGTGTAATGGGATACAATCAATTTGGATAGCCTAAAAATATTAGGAAAATATCTAAAATTTGAAACCGAAAATCAGCCCCTTTCTCTTGAAACTCCATTCAATTTAGCACTATTCTTCGTGCAAGCGCAAAAAAGCTCAAGTTTCATTTTTCGTTCCGACTATTACCAAAGCAAAGGAAGGAATATTTGTGCTCGAGGTGGTTCTCTAGACCAATTTTGACTTCACATTTTTGGCCTTTTTTAAATGATCATCTGAAAAATTATGCTGTCCTGAGCTAAAGTTTAGAAAAACCGGCGGTTGCTTAACTTGTAGTTATGGTGGGTTCAAATAGCCAGCTTAGCCATTTTAGGAGAATTATGGCGCGGTATATTTCTTGTTACTATAGGGTAAGCGGAGATGATTTAGTCCTAATCCGGCTTAGGAAATGTTCCAAAATCGATTGAGGCAATTTATTTGGTCTGCTAATGTGAAAAAGAAATCATATAAATCTGTATTTCAAATAGCGTGTGGGAGAATGATCTAAAAAAACTGCATAGTTTTTTTGTTGAAAATTTCAAGATTTTTCCAAAACAATCACTACTCCATAGAAAACAAAAGGCATCTGGAACACTCAGGACTTCGCCCTGATGAGAGCAGTTTTTTCTAGTTAAGTACTGAAAATCAACTAATGGTTCTTACAACTTTTCAAATTAAGATGCTTATGAATGTACAACCAGTTTAGGACTTGCTTTGATGTTTTGATTAATTAATTGAGAACTTTGTTCAGATCGAAACCTTGAATCAGTTGTAGAACCGGACTAAACTTCCCACTTGTGCTATGCGTTAGTTCATAATAGGATTTTAGAGTTCAAACTATTCCCCATTTTACCCAAACATTTGACAATTTTTGTTTAAAATTCACATTAAATGATAAAATGACAACAGCTTTTTTAAAATAACGGTAAAATACCGTTTTTAAATTGTCTTTTCAAAAACAAAATAGTTTTATCTTAGCGAAGTTTCTTCCAATTACAATTCAACCGGGTTTACCTCCATAGTAAAAAAAATTGCATAGCCTAAAACTCCATATGTCAAACTTACTGAAAAAATACAATTTTTTTAGGGAAAAATGTTGATCGTTTACATATTTTTATAGAAAAAATACTTGTCAATCTT